GCGCTTTTTGTTATACTTTTCTTTCCTGTGTCTGCTTTTGGGTCCACTCCACAACACACTGGCCATCCTGGCTGTGAGAGGATTCAGGTGTCATCACCTTTATAAGGGGACAAAATTGGCACTCTGGAAACACAGAAAGCAGCACACGATCAGGTGTTATGACCTAGAACATAATCGTTCCCTAACAATAAGTAGTTACCAAGTATCATATGATGTAAACGTGAAATTACCAGTAAGTGAAAAGTTACATTTTTTTGATAGTAGTGTCGAAAACGCTGAGCTTAGAGTTGTTACAGAGTATAGCATGGTGGAAAAGGTTGGAGAGAATCCCCCACTAAGCTTTTGGGTTGGCATTGCTTTAGATTTTGTTTTGTATTAATTGCATGCTTTGGTGTTTCTTTGTGTTTGATGTGAGGTGGGGGCCACGCCCATGTGGGAGTGGAGATTCTACTCTAGTCCAGCTGCCAGCTATTTGGAGTTGAGTACAGGGAACAGCTGATTGGGGAGGATTGGAGCCCTTCTCTATAAACGGGAGAGGAAACAGGAAGTAGGGGTTGTCGTTGTTTTTTTGTAGGACACTGGTGTAGCAGGGAAGCTTCGAAGATCCAGGATGAAGTGTGCACATTTTAACGGAAAGGATTTTTAACCTGGCCTGGTTTTGCTTTTAAAATAATCTGAGGATGTTGGAGGGAGGACTCGTTTTTATTGGGATGTGAGTGGATGTGCTGGGAGGCAGGAAAACAAACACTGGACTGGAGACTCTCTGTGCCCCTGACAAGGAAACTGGACGAGTTTTGGGGAAGTTCCAGCTCCCAGGATGTGATGTGGAGACCCAGCCTCGAACGAAGTCAGGCCTGAAAAGGCTAACAACCCTGACCGCGGTGGCTTTGGGCCTTGGATTCCTGGCCAGAGTTGTCTTCAGCCAGTAGTTTTACCCGGAGAAAGAACAAATAAATCTTGTGTAACCCATTGCAGTGTGCGTGTGGTGGTTCGTTACTGGTCAATATTAGAGCTACTACTTTCTTGTACGGAGGCCATTTTGGGCCATCAAACAAATACACAAAAGATCACTTAACATTGGTTTCGCCAGAAATTTGAAATAAAGTAAATGACTTCAATGGGAAAAGGATTTTAGGAAAATCTTTAACACTGAAATTAAATAGCAGCCCGAAGTCATGATTCCCAAAAGCAATATTTAGTAAAACATTCTCAAGTTTGACTTTTAAATCGTCAGATCTGTGAAGCATATCCTGAAAATCAAGTCAGCATTTGTAGAAATGCGGTGAACTGAGAAAATGTCATCTTAAAGTCATTTGTTTCCCATCAGTGTACAGAATATTCAAACATGTCAGTCAGATGTTGGCATTAAAGTGAAGGGATGAGTAATCTGATTGCAAAAGCAGGATTTCTGAAATACTCTCATATGTATGTGCTTAATATTAACCTTTAAGTAGTCCTTTCCCTAAATTCAGCTTTTACTCTGAACGTCAAATTAAAACTTCCTCCCCGCTTCAAGATATTTCTGCAGCGCCCAAATCCGCCTCACCTCCCCCTCCACTTGGATGGGCTTTGATTTATAATTCTAAAGTAAACCAGCTGGGGCATGTTTGCATAGACGCGCACACACACACGCACGCACAGCTTGTGTGCGCACTGACGCGTGAATATACACCAACAGCAGCGCCTCGCCTCTGCAGACAACTTCTAATACACTGTTATCTTTGTGTTTTTTCCACCTCGCGACTTATCGAGTGCAGCCTGCAGGCATATGACCAAAGGAGAGGGGAGCAGAGATGATTGATAATTAAGTGAAGTACCTGTATCGGTGACGTGGGTGGGGAAGACAGAGAGCGAGGGAGAGAGAGGGAGAGAGAGAGGGAGAGAGAGAGGGAGAGAGAGAGCGATGGAAGGAGGCGGGCCGGAGAGGAGAGAGAGGTCTTGCCTCTTGTCTTGCCGAGGCTCTTTGATTCAGTGGCAGTGGCTGAGACAACCCTGTTACCGGCCACTGTTAACCTGGTAAGTCCTCATGTTCTTCTTCTCTCTCTTTAAATCAGACCATTTGCCATTTATCTCTCTTTAGAAACGAGCAGAAGTTACTTTACAGGTCAGGAAGTCGGAAGAAATAAAGTTTGCGCATAAAATGGAAACAGATGAGGCGACACAACGCAACGCAACGGCATATTTGGGATCTCCGTGCAAGTCAAGATTAAGAATTGCTTCTTTTTTTAAACCAAAGTAGCCGATATTGGTGTTTTGAATTATATGAATATAGAAACGGGTCGGTGTTTTTTTACTTTCCGGGTGCTGAAGCGCTCCAGCAAACCAAAGGGAAACTTGGGCGCTGTCCACGGTGCTGAAAGTGTTCGCGTGTTTAAAGACGGTCCGGTTGTCGCAGCTTTATCTCTGTCTGTATTGACAAAGTTTCTCATGGATAACCCCTCTCTTCTCCACAGTGTAACTAAGAGCCCCGATCATACTCGAGACCAACAGCTCGTGGCAAAGCAAAGACAGATTCCCCTGAAGGACTCTGTGTATTTATCGGGTATCTGTGTCCAGATAGAAATCCAGACCTTTGGTCAGACCCAACTTTAGAAGAAAAACACGCTCTTTATTGGATGACCACGACGTGTGAAGATGCATTGCGTGTCCGATGAGTGCAAAATCTGCCAGTTAAAGTCCGTGATCAAGAGCTCGGCGCAGACAGGAGTACCCGCGGTGAAGAAACCCGCAAGAAGCTCCACCCGGTAAGAAGTGGAAGAGTGGTATTCAGTGAAGAAAGAGAAGAGAGTGGGGGCCAGCAAACAAACACCAGCGCGTCATCAAATGATGGGGATAAAGCACCTTCTGCTTCTTTTGGTTTACTTAGACCCTCTGAATGTCCTGTGCGCCGCCACCGCCAACAAAAAGAACAAAACCCCGCTGAGGAGGATCCCAAAGGTGAAGGAGGTCAACGGCAGCACCACCGCGGTCCCCGGAGCCGCCGCCGTCCCGGGGAAGATCACCCAAGTCCAGGCTCCGCCGCTCGTCGCGTTCCAGCACGACACCTGTAAGGGCTACTACGACGTGAGCGGTCAGTTCGACAACGCGTTCGCCTGCAACAATACCGATCACCGCTTCTGCTGCGGCAGCTGCTTTCTGCGCTTCTGCTGCGCGGACCGGGGTAAGCGGCTGGAGCAGAACAGCTGCAACAACTACATCACCCCGGACTGGATCAAAACCCAGCCCCCGTCACCGGCGCCAACAGGTGACACGTACGACCCCGCGCTGGACCAGACCAACACCACAGTGTACATCACCTGCGGGGTCATTGCGCTCATCATTGCCATTGGGATTTCTGCGAAAGTTGCCTACGATAAAGCCACGAAGCCCCCTCAGGAAATGAACGTGCACAGGTGAGATCTTTTTTTCTTTTTTTAATGTTGTCACAATCCAATCTGGGAAATTATGAATTTTAAAAGATGTCCTTCATGTAATTTCAGTTTTACACTTGTGTTCCTGTCTGGACTCTTTCAGTGCCGTTTGCTCATATAAATCTGAACCTGTTTTCATGTGTCAGAGTAATTAAGACGAATTCTTAAAACTACAGTTTATTAAATGATCAGATGGGGAAGCCTCTTTTGCAGGTTGACACAGACTTCAGCTCACAATCAGTTTTTGTTGCTGTCTATTCCTTCCAATAGATTTAAAACCCAATCTATATAGTTGCTCTCATGGGGAATCAACTAATCTATAGTAACGCACATAACTTGCACCTTCAGTATCATGGGTCCAGTCTACCCCATGACTTTTAACATGTACCATTACTCTTTTTCCCAGAGATTTGCTTTAAAAAAAATCATAGATACCTTCACAGGGAACACATCCCATTCTCTGGTAATCCTTGAAGGCGGGTGGTGGTATTTTATGTCCGTCAAACCTCCAGGGAATAAAGCAAATGCCACTGAAAACCATTATAAGTGATCACGTTCATCGTGATGGGAGTGGTCTCTTCTGCAATGACATTTTTTTTTAAGTCCTCGAGGCACCAGTAGTGGTCACTGAATTGCTCAGTGAATATTAAAGCTACATAAAAACACATCCTGTAGCCATTTCAGTCACAAGCTGAACAAATTGCTGTATGGTGTGTGGAACAGGCCGAAGGCAATGTCCCTCCCCCCCCTACACACACACATCATCATCATCATCATCAGAAAGTCAATTATAAGATATTTTCCATGCAAATGACGTCTGTTTCCATCCTTATGTCCTGAATCAGACCTCTTTGTCTATTTTTTCAGCTTCAAGGCATTTTTTGTTGCCTAAAAATGATTCCACTGACCAAATTATGGGCACCGTTGTGCATTTGAAAATCTGCTGTGCTAAACACTGCAAATGGTGTGCTGTTGTATAGAAAGCTTTTATCTGGGTGTAAAATCTTGCAGTTTCTTATCATTTGAAAAATGTATGACTGTCAATTTGAAAGCTTGGAGTATTGCAGTTAGACTCTAAATAAATTACAAAGAATAACTGATCTTTCAGGACTGTATTGTCTGCAGCCCAGAAATAGCCAGATAACTGTGGAAAAATTCAGACTGTGGTTCATTTCAGCAGGATATATCATTTCCAATTCATTTATTTTCTATGCAGTGCAGTCTGGAGGCTTTGCATTGCATTCTAAGTGATAAAACGTGCAGGACCCTACTCCCTATTTGAATAAAACTGACAACTTTGGTACTTTATGCAAATCAAAAGCCAGATGCAAGATCATTGGGAGCTTATTTCTCACTTCAAGTGTTGTCACCGTCTAGCCATCCATCCATAGAACCCTAAAGCGACTGAAAACTTTGTTATCTTTCTGATCTTTAATAACAAAGGGATTACAGATAAAGTAAATCTAAATTTTAATCATTCTCTTTGGCACGATAGCTCAAAATGCCACACTAGTTGTTCATGTTTGCTACTAAACACTGTCTGTAGCTTTAAATGGAAGTGAGCCACTGTGGCCACCCCATCTTTCTGGAAGAGGTCTGTGAAATGGCAGCACACAGATCGCATGTCACCTGACACAGACTGAATGATACTTAGAATGGAAAAAATTATGCTTATTCTGCCTTTTTGAACTATTATTTTACAATGAACTATAATGTGATAATAATAATAATGATGACAGGAAACATTTTAGAAGCAACTTTATGCCAAATGGTAGCACAAAAGTCATCATGGAAAAACACCAAACGATCTAATAGTTATGTCCTTGTTATTTGGCTTCACAGTTTTGACATGCATTGTGCCGACATTAAAGATAAAAGAAATAAACTTGGTGTTCAGTTCCTCAGATACCAGCAAAAGACCACGTGGCCTACTTTGCTAAATCTTCAGAACAGTCCACCATCAGATCCTCTGTTACCTAAAATGTTTCAGCCATGAGCAGAGTGTGGTGATAACTGTGATGCCATGATGTTACAGAAGTCTTTATAGGTTGCTTTCGTCCACAGGAATGGCTTTTATGGTATCGCAGCTCATGCTGTTATAGAGTAAATTTCTACAGTAGGGGTTCTTTTATTGTTCGTGTGGTGTGTGGTTAGATAGAATTTCTTGTGTTGTTTTGAATTTTGGTTTCCACCTTGAGATTAAAAAAATCTTTTTAGAGGCATCTCCGTCAGCATTCCTGCAGAAAAGGTAAACTGGAAAACCACTGTCTGTTTTACTGTTTGATAGACTATCCATTTTGCTGATTGCTTCCATGTCTGGTGGATATTCCGTCGTCACTGAAGCAGGTATTAAAAGGATAATTAAGAATAGTGTTTAATTAGGCGTAGGTTTGACTAAAATTGCATTTTCCACCCACAATTAAAGAAAAATTATAGTCAGTTAGTCGCTGCTGTTGTTCAATAGTCTCTGGAGTCACCTCCTATTATCCATAGTTGACTCTGGACAGAGCAGTAGAGGATGTCTTGTTTCTCTCCAGAGCCCAGAAGTTGACTTAATGATAATTGCGCATTGTTATGCTCGGGTCATGAAGCTTTGTTGCCTGCTGATTTGAAAATGTCGAGGGAGATTACTCGGCTGTCTTTCTTAGAGAAACATAGTAACAAGTTCTTGATAGAAAATGTCCAAATTCAAGCTCTGACAAACAACACAAAGAAACCTTTTCAGGAAATCAATTATAGATTCAATTTAAGCTGGAGTGTTGGCTTTCTCCTTTCAAAAGCTGGCACAGCAAGCTTTTAATATCCATATGGACTTTATAATACAGTGTTGTGTTTGTAAT